CCCTTTGGCATCGCGGTTAGGGACTGCGCCAGGTGTTGTTTTTTAAATTTTGGCTGCGTTTCGGGAAGGCAGCGAGACGGGGCTTAAATTGGATCAAGCCTCCGTCGGGAGGGATTCTGAGCGGGACGGGATGATGGAGTCCCAGAGTTTTCTGCTTCGTGATGAGCTGTTTATAAATAAGCGCTGACGTTTGGGTCATCTGTCAGGATGGTGGCACAGTTCCTGCAGGGGCTGACATTACCTCCCTGGCACGTCTGACAAGCCAGGCCTGTGAAATGTCGCTCGCCTAGGGTGAACCGGGAATGGCCTCCAAGTGAGCATAGAGACGTTTTCTTGGGGTAAACTAACCATGGGGTTTCTCTCTTTCCGTAAACAACTTAAAATGCCATTCATGGGTGGACGGACTCCTAAGATCTTTGGAGGCAAAATCACCAGTCTGGTGGCACCTTTTAAAAGTCAGGATTTTTGTGTGGCATAACCTTTTGAACATGTATAGCAGACTTGTACAAAGTTTGGGGTCTACCTCTGGCCATTATTGTCTCTTCCAGCGGGCCAGAGGCAGCTCCTTAAGGTCTTTCTGGCGGTGGGAGAGGAGAGATATTCCTTTCCTTAGCTACCTGATCTTTTTAGCTAGAGGTGCTAAGAACTGAACCTGCGGTTTTCTGCATCCGAAGCAGGGCTGGGTGATACCTGGTTTCCAACATTGCGATACATCGTCAGCTAAACATCGCGATAGACCAATATATCCCAATGTCTGAAATAAGGATGGAGCTATTCTGGGATAAAATAATAATAATAATAATTTATTATTTATACCCCGCCCATCTGGCTGGGCCTCCCCAGCCACTCTGGGCGGCTTCCAAAAAAATATTAATATACCGTAATGCATCAAACATTAAAAGCTTCCCTAAACAGGGCTGCCTTCAGATGTCTTCTAAAAGTCTGGTAGTTGTTCTTCTCTTTGACATCTGGTGGAAGAGCATTCCACAGGGTGGGTGCCACCACCGAGAAGGCCCTCTGCCTGGTTCCCTGTAACTTGGCTTCTTGCAGGGAGGGAACCACCAGAAGGCCCTCAGAGCTGGACCTCAGTGTCCGGGCAGAACGATGGGGATGGAGACGCTCCTTCAGGTATACTGGACTGAGGCCGTTTAAGGCTTTAAATGTCAGCACCAACACTTTGAATTGTGCTCGGAAATGTACTGGGAGCCAGTGTAGGTCTTTCAAGACCGGTGTTATATGGTCTCAGCGGCCGCTCCCAGTCACCAGTCTAGCTACCGCGTTCTAGAAACAAAGTGTTTCTAGTTTTCAACACCAATCTAGGTTATTTCTTCCTTCCATGCTTTACTGAGACCCAGCCAGATACCTAACTATGAGCCAGTGTTGTATAGTTTAGGAGTTAACAGGACTTGAGCCTTGTGGGCTCAAACTAAGTTTTCTTTTGTCCACTGATGGGATTTAGAAGCCAAATGGTGGCTCAGGAAGTGGAGCCAGTTACCTGCTGCCTTGCATGAGCAAAGACTGGGGTAAATGGCATATAAAAGGTAAAGGACCCCTGACAGTTAAGTCCAGTCGCAGACGACTCTGGGGTTGTGGCGCTCGTCTCGCTTTATTGGCCGAGGGAGCCGGCGTACAGCTTCCGGGTCATGTGGCCAGCATGACTAAGCCGCTTCTGACAAAACCAGAGCAGTGCACGGAAACACCGTTTACCTTCCGGCGAGAGCGGTATCTATTTATCTATTTGTACTTTTGATGTGCTTTCGAACTGCTAGGTTGGCAGGAGCTGGGACCGAACAACGGGAGCTCACCCCGTCGTGGGGATTCGAACCGCCGACCTTCCGATTGGCAAGTCCAAGGCTCAGTGGTTTAGACCACAGCACCACCCGCGTCCCATATGCATATGCAGGTGTACAAATCTACACCCGAGTTGCTTTGGGTGGCGGCTTCCGTCAGCCTTATTGGGGAACCAAATTGGGCCAATCATGCTCTCTCGGCCCAGCCTTCCTCACAGGGTCGTTGTGAAGATAAAGGAGGTGAGGGAGCCCCTTTCTAGCTCCTTGGAGTTGTGATGGGGCACACATGTGAGGAATAAGCATTGTTTGCTTGTTTGGGTATCACCGCCAATGTGCAATAGGCTTTCTCACTATACAAGGAGACAGGTCTCTGCCCCAAGGATCCTTCAGTCTAAAAATAGACCCCCGAAAAGGAAAAGGAAAAGGAAAAGGAAGTGAATGCAAGGTTAAACCAGGGAAGGATAATGCACGTTCCTAAATAATAAGAGAGCAAATGATGAGGTTAAATTGTCCCCTTCTTCCTTGGCAGGGAGATGGCGGAGAGTCTCAGGTTTCACTGATTCCTTGGGTGGATGTGACCCATTTCTCGTAGATGCCTGGGATGTGTCAGGGCAGCTCTCTGACAGCCTCATGTAAACCCGACAGCCGGCTTCCTGCCCTGCCTGTTTCCTATCGTAACTGTTCCAGCCGGCTTTGAGGAGGCCAGACCCAAACAGCCAAGAGGAGTGAAGCTGAAGGAATGCGCAGAGCGGCAGGGAGTGGAGTTTCGTTAGTTGCTGGCTCAAAAACTCCAACTTGTGCCGCTGTTTGCATAGGCCTCTTGCTGCAGCAACCCTTCCTTCTAATAGTGAACTCAGGGAGTGGGCGCCAACAGCAGTGTTCGAAATTAGCCAGGCGCCAGGAGCATTTTGCACCTGGATTTCAACCATTTGTGACCAGGTGAAGTTGCCAGGGTGGCTCCTGACATCTCTCGCCACCATCTGGAGGTGCATGCCTGGGGATCCGTGGATCTGGACTGTTTTCACACACTAGTACCCTGTCCTGTAGAATTCTATCAGTTATGTTTTATCTGCAAAATCAGAACGAATTTCAGGAAACAAAATGCTTTTTCTGTGCAGTCTGGGCAAGAGAAGTTAACAATGTTATACCACAGTACCTTGGAAGTAGAACGCCTTGCGAGTTGAACGTTTTGGCTCCCGAAAGCCCGGAAGTGAGTGATCTGGTATGCAAATGTTCTTTGGAACCCGAACGTCCGACACGAGTTCCTATTGGTTGCAGGAGCTTCCTGCAGCCAATTGGAGCCACTCCTTGGTTTCTGAACGTTTTGGAAGTCAGAGGGACTTCCGGAACATATTCCGTTTGACTTCCGAGGTACGACTGTAGTGAATGATTGCCCTTATCTTCACTTTCCCCATCCCAGTTCCCTGCTCACAGTTGTGAAGAATGTTCTTACGTTATGAATGGTCAGTGTCACCATTAAGAAAAAGAGATCGGAATAGGCCCATATACACGTGGACTGTCCGTGGATCAAGTAACTTTTCATTTTTAAGTTCTCAAGAGTTCTTCACTTAGCTCAATAACTAGCCAGGTGTTTAAATCAATCACAATCAGTCCATCATTTGAAAAATAAGACTTTAGAGTCATCTTGCCCCCAAAATGGCAGCTGGACGTTCTGTTTTGGTGACTGCACCCTGGTTTACGGAGCCATTTGGCCCCTAGCTTATATATCGGGGATGCGGGTGGCGTTGTGGGTCTAGGACTTGCCAATCAGAAGGTCGGCGGTTCGAATCCCCACAACACGGTGAGCTCCCGTTGCTCTGTTCCTGCTCCTGCCAACCTAGCAGTTCGAAAGCACATCAAAGTGCAAGTAGATAAATAGGTACCGCTCCGTCGGGAAGGTAAACGGCGTTTCCGTGCGCTGCTCTGGTTTGCCAGAAGCGGCTTAGTCATGCTGGCCACATGACCCGGAAGATGTACGCTGGCTCCCTTTGCCAATAAAGCAAGATGAGCGCCGCAACCCCAGAGTCATCCCTGACTGGACCTAATGGTCAGGGGTCCCTTTACCTTTATATACCTGAGTTTCTAACCCTGCTTGGGAATTAACCCGTGTGGTTTGGCGAGCGATGTTTTCCTAGCGTCACAGAATTGTAGAGTTGGCGGAGGAACCAGAAGGGCCATGGAGGAATCTTTCGCCCAAAGTGGAGCTTGAGGCCAAGAGTCTTGCGTTGCACCGACGGAGGAGCTGCCTGGTGTCGTTTTTGCAAAGGAGCTGAGGGACGTAGCCTCCTCTGAGCAGGCACAGAGGGAGTGACAGGTGCGTAAGTGTGCAGAGTTCAGGAGAGGGCGAGGCCGCTTTGAGCCACAGAGGAGGGAGATTGCAGGCAGGAGGGTGTGTGCGCATGGGGGGGGTGGATCCCTGGGTGTGGATCCCAGGAGCCTCGCGGAAGAAGAAGGTGCATCATCAGCCGAGAGGGAAAGGAGAGAGGGCAGAGGATCCAAAGGAACTTGGAAGCGGAGAGCCATGAACCGAGGAAAAAGTGCCCGTGCCAGGAAGGCGTTTGAGGAGCTGGGAGCAGAAGGCAAGGTCTGTCTGAGCTTCGCAGGCCTGCCTGGGCAGGGGATGGGACGCCGGGGCTTAAATGGTTAACCTAGAGAGGTGTGGTTCAGTAATGTCTGGGGTGAAAGTTTTACCCAGCATGGATACATGGCCAGAAGCAAAGAGGGAATGGTTTGAGGGAGAGCCTTCATTAATTCCCATGCCCTCCTCGCTTTGGAGGGGCTGCGCTGAGGAATAATAAATCATGCGATGTTGGTCAGGGGGTTTCCGGGGTGCTTTGATCATTTGCTGTGATCCAGTCTGACTCTGCACCCGTGTGTTGTTCTGCAATCTGGATTCCTTTCCGTAGGCCTGTTCGGAGTTGTTCCCTGTTGTTCTCTTGAAATCAGTACAGATCGTTAGAGGGAAACATAGTTTTGGAACCAGGAGGCAAATTGCAGCCAGGGATCGGTTTAAAGCTGTAGCTGCAAGTTTTAGTTAGGTGGTAGGTTCACTCTACCCAAAGTGGCTTAATGGATTAGGAAGGTTTGTTGTTGTGAACTGTCCTGAGATCTACAAATGAAGGGCGCTATACAAATTTTAATATTATTAATAATAAAATAATAATCATAAATGAGTAATTAATAATAAATAGGTCCTCAGTCAGTTGGGCAGAGCTCAGTTGGTAGAGCATGAGGTAATTGATCTTAGGGTTGTGAGTTCAAGCCCCATGTTGGGCAAAATAGATTCCTGCATTGCAGAGGGTTGGTCTAGATGGATCCCTTCCAACTCTACAATTCTGTGACTTAAAAAAAATATGATATGTTCCTTTAGCAGGAAGGGAGGGTACCTTTTTCAAAATGTTGTGGCGAGTTTTCTTCTCCCCCTTATTTCCTCCAGAGCGTCTCGTTTTATCATCAATTCGCATGTCTGTTCAGGTTTATTTGACTTGATTCTCCTGTTTCTTTTTTCTGCAAATCTGTTCTGATTAACCAGAGCTGCCTGCCGTCTGATCAAAGAGACCTGCGACTTCTAACTGCAGTTCTCAATTATTTTAATCAATCAAAACTCGTGTGGCCTACAAGTTTTCTTTAATTTGAAGATAGCCTTGGGACCTGTGAGCACAACTGACTATCCTCTGGTTTTAGGACTGCAGTATTCTGAACTGTATTTTCTTTGCATCAGAGTTAGTACCTTGGTGCAGGGGCCTGGGCTTGGGGAGAGGAGGGACGTGGGTTTCGAATGTGGACCCAGCTGCTTTATGTGGGTGGCTTTTATCTTTCAGCCCCACTTCCCTGAAGGGAAAGAATAGGACGGGGTAGGCAACCTAAGGCTCATGGGCCACAAGCGACCCACAGGGGTCGTTTAACTGGCCCACGAGCCGCCCCCAGTCCCTGTGCGCTGCGCTAAACTGGCACAGCGCAGCGCAGGGACTTGCTTCTGCAGTGCCAGAAATCACGTCTGCGCATGCTCAGACACCAAAAATCACATCTGCGCAGATGCAGGCGCAGAAAATCGCAGCCGCACACCCGCGATCCGGCCCAAGGAGGGATCTCCGCTGGAGTGAACTAGCCCAGGCGAGGTAAACCTTGCCGACCCCTGGAATAGGGTGACCCCCCCACCCCACCCTATACCACCCCCCCAGATTTTTTGTGAGGGCAGGATAAATATGGGGAAGATGAAGTTAAAAGCTTAAACTGGATTTTTAGCTTACATGGGTTTGAACCCTGCGACTTTGCACAGCAGACCAAACAATCCTGCAAATACCTTCACCCCGATTTGTACGCTTCTGTTTTCCTTCTGCCAGCCGTGAGGAGGGGCAGTTTGCTACGAAAGGAGGGGGATCGCTCTGGGCCCTTTATCCTTGGCTCTCTTCTCTTGGAGATTTCCCCCCAGGCCTTGCCCCATCCCCTTTCCCGCAATGCCCCTCACAGTTCATGAGGCCTAGCAACTTGCTTTCTTATAACACAATCGCTTGGGACTCGATGTTGCACACTCCTGCTGTTTGATGGCAACATTCTGGAAGCACAGTTCCTGTTAGACTGTAAAATAAATTAAATGTTGTGGAGTGAAGAGCTGCGGAACCAGATCTGCCTTGCAAATCTGAAGGAGAATTGCGAGTGAGAGGCAAAATATTTTTTTCTGCCAGTTGGTAGTGAATGACAGTTGCGTATTTGTATGTGTGTTGTGTGTGTGGACTCCCTTGGGATGTGGTGGGCTCTCCTTCCTTGGGAGGTTTTGAAGCAGAGATTGGATGGCCTTCTGTCGTGGATGCTTCAGTCCGGTAGACCTGAAGGAGCGTCTCCACCCCCACCGTTCAGCCCGGACACTGAGGTCCAGCTCCGAGGGCCTTCTGGCGGTTCCCTCACCGCGAGAAGTGAGGTTACAGGGAACCAGGCAGAGGGCCTTCTCGGTGGTGGCACCCGCCCTGTCGAACGCCCTCCCATCAGATGTCAAGGAAATAAACAACTCTCTGACTTTTAGAAGACATCTGAAGGAAGCCCTGCTTAGGGAAGCTTTTAATGTTTGACGGACTATTGTATTTTAATACAGTGGTACCTCTGGTTGTGAATGGGATCCGTTCCGGAGGCCCATTCGCAATATGAAAAGAGTGCAACCCGCAGTGGCGCGTCTGCGCACGCACAGGCTGCTATTCGCTGCTTCTGCACATGCACATGACGTCATTTTGCGCTTATGCGCGAGCAACGAAACCCGAAAGTAACCCTTTCTGGTACTTCTGGGTTGTCATGGGACATAACCTGAAAGAACGTAACATGAAGCAAACATAACATGAGGTATGACTGTATTTTGTTGGAAGCCGCCCGAGTGGTTGGGGAAACCCAGCCAGATGGGCAGGGTATAAATAAATTATTATTATTTTTATTTATTTATTTATTTGAGATCCCTGCATGGCAGGGGGTTGGACTCGATGACCCCCGGTTCCCTTGTGATTCTGTGGTGTGAATGTGGCCTAGTGGTGGGGAACTTCCGACCCGTGGGCTGATTGTGGCCCTCCAGGACCCTCTGCGTGGCCCTCTCCAGGCCACACCTGCTTCTTGGCCGCACGCTCCTCACATATTTTTGCCATGCTGGACTGGGTCCTCGAACTTCTGATACTGCCTCTTCCTCACCTGGGTGGAGGTCAGAGGGGAAAGTTTGTGTGTGCGTGTGTGTACAAATGAGTCAACTGTACAAAGGTAGAATTTGCATTCATGGCTCCAACCACTCCTGCTGCTGTCATGTGCTTCCTGGAAGGAAATGTGTCCCTGGCACCGAAAAGGGTTCCTCATCCATGCGCATTTAAGGCCGATTCGCACATGCTTGCTCCATCCGTGTGTGTTTGGTGTACAGAGTGGGGCTTTGCAATCCCAGGGCCACAGGCAGATCTCTCCCTTCCCTTCACATCTCCTCAAGACACACCGGTCGTTCAATTTAGTCAGTCCACACATTCATTTAAGACAGGGGTGCCCAAGCTTTTTTCAAAGAGGGCCAGATTTGATGAAGTGAACATGTGTGAGGGCCGACCAAAGACCAAAGTTATTGAGCTTTTTTTAGGATTTTACCATAGGACATATATTGTCATGGGGATTAAATCAACCAGCAGGCCGGATTAGGCCCCCCCGAAACAGACTTTGGACATGCCTGATTTAAGAAATGCAGCGATGTCTGTGGATGTGTGAATCGGGCCCGGAGTGTGTTGGATCAGGGGAAAGGCAGGAACCAAGATGAGCATTGTATATTTCGAAAGAAAGATGGAGCAGGTTTTATTTACCAACATTTCTTTCAAGGCCCTCTTATGGCTGTCAAATGTGGCTTTACCCTATTTCCCACAAGTGAGACCCGCAACAAAATGTTGCAGCGTGGAGGATTTCTTTGCAAGGTGCCAGCCAGCCATGCTCTTTCAGGAGACTCCATTTCATTTGTGCGCTCCCATTTTCAGCACCGCCTCCCAACAGTCGTTTTGGGTGTTCAGTGAGCTTGAGCAATCCTTATCAGACTGTTTTTTGGAGGGAGGGCTCCCCCTTACATTTCCCTCCCCTGTCACAATATTTTTTTTGCCTTTTTTGGGGAAACTTCAGTGTTTCCTATCAGCCCTCAGCCAACCATGTGATGCTAGGAGAGTTAAGAAATATGTTTTTAAAATTGCCCGTGATTTTCTTGTTTTATACATTTAGGGTGCAAACACTTTCCCCATGTATCTATATATGGAGAGACAGATTGTGTGCGTGTGCATTTTTTAAATGTTGTGAAATCTTCTACTTGCACAGCAGGTATGTTGAGGTGTTGCTAAATCCTCTCTGAAGTTCATGTTTGCTTTTAATAAATAAATAAAAATCCAGATTTTATTTTGAAGGTTCACAGTTTCGAAAAGAGAGTATCCTGGTTATTTTTCTTCTTGGTTTCAGATTTCCAAATCTTAAAAGACTGCAAGCGTTTATGACGTCTTCCTTGAGTTTCTGGTTTCTGTTTATTAATGTGGAATTATTTTAGGCTTCCTCTGCAGGCTCACTTCAGTATGGGGAGGAAAATTGCGTGCCATGGGGATTGTTGAAAGGGAAAAGGAGAGTGAATTTAGCTCTTGTACCTCGAGAACATAAGAACATAAAAAGAGGCTTCTGAATCAGGCCATCTAGTCCAGTATCCTGTTCTCACAGTGGCCAAGGGGAAACCTACAATCAGGATTTGAACACAAGAGCAACTCTCCTGTGGTTTCCAGCAACTGATATCCGGGAGAATTCCTCCCTCTGGCCACAGACACAGAGCATAGCCGTGGATGGCCGTCTCCGCCATGAATTTGTCCAATCCTCTTTCAAAGCCATCTGAGTTAGTGGCCATCACTTCTTCCAGTGGCAGGGAGTTCCATAGTTTACCTCTGCCCTGGGCGAAGGAGGACTTTATTATACCTATTCTGCATCTTCCAGTATTCAGCTTCATTAGACGTCCACAAGTTCTAGCGCAGTGTTTCCCAAACTTGGGTCCCCTGTCTTGCTTTTCGACTACAATTTCCATCATCCCTGACCACTGGTCTTGCTCTCTAGGGATGATGGGAGTTGTAGTCCAGAAACAGCTGGAGATCAAAATTTGGGAAACGCCGTAGACTGAGCAATCTACACACTTCCTCTTGGCCATCTGTAATTTTATAAACTCCTCTCATTTTTCTAGACTAACTCCTTTTCTCTAAACTAACAAGTCCCAAATGTTGCGGCCTTTCCTCATGGGAGAGTCGTTCCACCCTCTCGATCATTTTGGTGTCACGTTATCTGAACCTTTTCCCAACTTTACAGTATCCCTTCTGGGGTGAGGCGACCAGAACCCCACATGGTATTCCAAAGGAGGCCCCACCTGATATCCCTTTAATGGGAGATTCCGCCAGCCATTGAACTTGGGGTCCTCTGCATGCAAATCCCATGCCCTGGCAATGAGCGATGGACCATATATAGAGTTTTGCGGTGGTTTCTTCTGTCCTGCAAATAGCCAGGGCTCTGTGCCAGCTGTCATTTGCGTCACTGAGTACAATGCCCCCCAGTTGTACCTTTCTTAGAAAACAAACAAGGCTGATTATTTATTGTTGTTGTTTCCACTTCTTTTCCAGGCCAAGCCCATTTATGGTGGATGGCTTTTGCTGGCGCCAGAAGGCACTGATTTTGACAATCCCGTGCACCGCTCTCGGGTAAGGATGGGGGTCCCTCTGCTGAGTCGGGGGGGGGGGGCGTTTAAGGATAGTCACAGCCCAGGTGGC